AATTAAAGTCAGAATTTTTTAAATTAAAGTCAGAATTCTGAGAAAATAGTTTTTAATAAGTTAGTGTAATGTGGCACTTTTCACCCTCCATACTCCAGCTTTTATACTTGCTGAACATTTCAGTGTAAAAAAACAAACATAAAAAGACCTTGATCTCCTGCTGACGTGTTGCTGCTCCATCCTCCTTTTTCTCCAGATATCACGAGTGGATGAAGTCTCCGGAGCTGCAGCAGCTGACCGCCTCAGAGCCGCTGAGCCTGCAGCAGGAGTACGACATGCAGAGGAGCTGGAGGGAGGATGGCGACAGTACGCAGCCACGGGCGCTTTCAAATCAGCCTGCATTACAGAAATGTTTCAATCCTTTAATTTTCAAGCTGAAACTTTACAGAGTGCACCTTCATCGTGTTGGATAAGGAGCGCTGGGCGGACCCCGGTGTGGAGGAGGCGCAGTGCATGGTGGGAGACGTCAACATCTTCCTGACCGACCCCACGGATCCGTCCGTAGCTGAGCTGGAGGTCATGATAGCAGGTGTTTGTTTCTGCTGATCTCTGATTGGAAGGAAGAGATTTTTTAAATCCCTCCTTCACTGAAACGTCTCTTTTGAACAGAGCCGAGTTACAGAGGAAGAGGCATTGGGAAGGAGGTGACTCGCATGATGATGATCTACGGTGAGCAGCTGCACATTAGCAGGAAGTTTGGTCTTAACTTCACTTCTTAGATCACCGGGGTTTTATTTTTGTTTTCCCACCAGGAATCAACAAACTAGGAGTCAGAAAGTTTCAAGCAAAAATTGGTCTGGACAACCAGGCCAGCATCTCCATGTTCAGGAAGCTGCAGTTCCAGGAGGTAAGGAGCAGCCGCTCAGATCACACCAGCAGAGGTTTGGAGATGAGAAGGAGAACCCAGCAGTGGCTGCGTGTCTGCAGGTGTCTGTGTGCAGCGTGTTCAGAGAGGTGACCCTGGAGCTGACGGTGGACGAGTCGCTTCGGATCCGCCTGCAGGGGGAGCTGGCTGATATGAAGGAGAGGGACTACAAACAAACATGCAGCAACAGACGAGCGCCGGTGCTGCAGTGAGGCGACCGACATCAGAAGTCCGAGTCTGACGGAAGGACGGATGCTCCTTAAACTCGATGGATGGAGGAAAATAAACTGGACTAACAGAAGGATGGAGAGACACAAATAATTTCTGGATTTCTGGAAGTTTCTGCTTCTTTGCCTAAAATGTTTCTAACCTAACCGTCCCTGAACGCCTCACGAACTTCCTCCCTGACATCCGGTGACATCAGTATGACTGCAGCCTGTGGAAGAACCTCAGTGCAGCGTTTGATACTGTTGATTACTGGATTTTATTAGAGCGCCCGGAAACTGGGCGGGACTTCCTGTTCCAGAACTGGACTGGTTCAGATCCCATTTGAATGACAGAGCCTTTAGTGTGTCTGTAGAGAACTTTACACCAGAGACTGTAAAAAAAATCACATGTGGCGTTCCCCAAGGATCCATCTTAGGGCTCCTCTTATTCAATCTCTACATGCTTCCTTTAACTCATTTTAATAAACATCTGTTGCCATAGCGATGCAGACGACACACAGCTGTTCATCACCAGGTCACCATGAACCCAGAGAAGAAATCAATGCATGGATGGAATAAATCATCTGAATCTGACTAAACTGAAGTCGTTTTTGGACCAAAGGAAAATTGTTTCAGATTTAGCATCCAGCTAGAAAGCAGCAATCAGGCTTTAAATGTGAGTTTAGTGATGAACTCAGACCTGAACCTTCAGAGGCTCCGAGAGACAGGAAGAAAGTCGACCTTCTATCACCTGAAGAACATCTCCAGGA